TTTTCATAATAAAACATCATGGCCCCAAGGAAAAAAAAATTTTCCAATGTGCCAGTCAGTGTGATAAATACGGGCTTCTATTGAGGCACCAGAACCAAGGCCGGCCTCCATCTCTTCCTGAGTGAAGCTGAGCTACGCAGCGGTCCAAGGCTAAGTTGCTGAGCTTAAGCTCCCTTTAAAGCTCGTTGCCTGTGTGAAGTTGAATCTGGTAGCATGAAGAGGTTGATGAATTTCAGTGCTATGGGGAGCTCCTTCAGTCTTCCATGTTGCTCCCAAGCCTGATTCCAAGTATATGTAGGGAAAAGGGAAATAGGAAATGTGGGAAGATAGAAATGAGATGAAGAACAATGAAATGAAAGACTAGAGAACATGAAGGAAAGGCGATGGACAGACCAGTCAACTCTGGCAAAGCCCAGCATTTTGTTTTCAGGATTATAACTTTAATGAAGGTACAGCTGGCCACTGGCCAGGAAGTACAAGTGAGCAAGTGACTGTCAGACGTGGTAGATCCCTTTGAGAAGGAGGGTTACTCTTTTACGGTCAATGCCTAAGCCGTTCTCTGTTTCCATTTCCCCAGGCGACTACACCACGGGAAACCTCGTCCGGCTGTGTCTGGCTGCCATAATCATGGTGACTATGGGGGCTTTCCTGGTGGAAGTCTGGTATAGCCAGAAGGAGTCTCCACATGGATCGACATAAAACGGAGCGCTTCTCTTTTCTTTTTCTTTCTTTCTTTTTTTTTTAATTATTATGGGTACATAATTGTTGTGTATCTTTATAGGGTACATGTGATGTTTTGATATGGACATACGATGTGAATTAATCAAATCGGCGTAATTGGGGTATCCATCGCCTCAGACATTTAACATTTCTTTGTGTCAGGAACATTCCAATTCTGAATCTCGGCTATTGCGAATGCGAGCGCTTCTCTTTTCAGCACGCGGTTGTAGCGACGGGGAGTTCTCTGAACACCGGACTCTCCCTTGGGGACTTCCCGTGTCTCTCAACACGGGCACAAATGGCATTTTAGGAAGGTTATTTCTTTACTCTGTGAGACTATCCTGTTCATCTTAGGAACTTTTAGCATGTATTTTGCCTTCCCATTGGAAACATCAGTTGAAGCCCTAATCATTTTGGAACAAGAAAGAAAGCAACTGCTATCATGTCTTTTGAAACATTCCTGGATGGGGTGGGCGGGAAGTCGGGGTGCTGCTCCCCCGGTTGAGAACCTGTGTTTGGAGGCCAGGAGAAACAATATTCCTCCTCCCCCACCTTCCCCTAACCTCAGATCTGTCCTTCTCTACCCAGAGAACCCACAAGTGCCAGGGGAATGATAAGTTAGACTGGCTGATCCTTAGCAGTGTTCTGTGGGACCTGCATTCTCGACTCCATCGGGATGCGCTCAAGGACGGGATGACGGCTTTCTTCTTCCTGTACTTCTCACCTGGGACAGAGGACAGAACTGGACATGAGACTCACCTAGTATGTTTTTGTGTACTTGAATAAATACTAAAAACTTCAGAGTCAGGCTGGGTAGCAGGTGCACTCTCGGCTGCGGGGAACTCTTCCTCCATGTGAAAGTGGAGGAGACATTGCTTCCTGTATAATATTTACATTGCTTCCCCTCCACTCTCCCTGTTTTATACTTCTGCGCAAACAATTGGCCAAATATTTGAATTTATGTACTTATCATACACATGTTTTAAATTTTATTTCACATTTTTCTGATATTTTACATAGTTTTGGAGAATTCCAGTCCATTCCATGGCATCCATTTGCCCTTGAGTGGTATCCAGTATTTCTGGTGCATGTATAAAATTTGCATTTTGTATATTTGCATTTATTTATTTATTTTAAATTGGCTATTTCAAGCCGTTGAATCAATCTAAGTGCCCATCAGCCAATGAAAGGATAAAGAAAATGTGGTCCATATATAGAATGGAATATTCTTCACCCAGAGAGAAAGAATGAAATCTTGTCATTTGCAGCAACAGAATGGAACTGGAGGTCATTACATTGAGTCGAATACGCCAAGCACTGAAAGACAGATATTGCGTGGTCTTACTCAGTATGTGGGAGCTAAAAAAGTGGATCTCATCAAGATGGAGAATAGGTTGGTGGTCACCAGAGGCCAGCAAGAGTAGGGAAGCCAGAGGGATAAACAGAAGCTGATTAATGAGTACGAACATACGGTCTGACAGAAGAAATAAGACCCGGTGTTAGAGAAATCAGTCGGGTGACTACAGTTTACAATAATCTATGGCATATTTCAAAATAGCTAGAAGAGAAGAATTCACATAGTTCTAGCACAAAGAAAAGACAAATATTTAAGGTGATGAACATCCCAAGCACACTGATTTGATCTTTACAAATTATGTGAATGTATCAAATTATCACACGTATCCCAAAACTATGTATATCTATTACGCATCAATAAAAAAGAAAGAAGATGAAGATGAAGAAAGAAGATGTGGTATATGTTATATACACAGTAGAAGACTATCAGCCTTTAAAAAGAGGAAATTCTTGTCATTCACAATGACACGAATGAGGCTGAAGGACACTGCGCTGAGGGAAACACGCCAGTCACAGGAAGTCATATTTCCATTTTTTAAGATCCGTTGTAGTTTCTTGCTAATAATATCCCTCTTTTTCATAAATACTCATTCTTACTTTAGAACTATTATGTCCTTTCTTATAACTCTGAGGTTGTACTTATAAAAATTAATTTCTGCTCATAATGTACACGATTCTCTTAGATGTAAGTCCTTGTTTTATTTATTTCCTTTCATCGTGCTGGTTTTCTTTCATTTTCTTTTTTTTTTTTGCAAGCGTGAAATGAAGTTCATTGAGGAAGGACAGGACAGGTTTACAGAGTGAGAGTGAGCTACGTTGGCCACAGACGATGAACCGGTCCCCTGTCGTAACGGGAGGGCCCATTGTGGTGGTTTTCATCGGATGATCGATGAGTCTTGTTTCTTCTCACATAGTTACAGTGGAGATTCTCCTTTTGCAACTGTTAAATCTGAAGTCAGGGCAGCAGCCAGCGCCTGGTTTCGTCCTCTGCATCCTTCAGGGTGCTGGGGGAGGCCTGGGGCTTCTCCTGGGCTGTGTGTGGTGTGGCTGGCCCTCTCGGCACGGCTGTTCCTGGTACTCTCAGGTGTAAGGAGGGCTTTTCTGTCCCTCCCTCCAATCAGTAAACCTCGTGGCTTCTGCTGAGAATAGACCCTTTCAGCTGCTATCTGCTCAAGAATGGTCGAAACGGACAGAGGTCTGGATTGATAGTCAACCTGGGTGAGGAACACCAAAACATGCCTTGCTGGTTTCTCTACCACGGTCTCTGGCTGCCGTCTCCACCTTGCCAGTTCGTGGAGCACATTTAGTGATGTGATGCTCCTGCTCTCTAATGCATGACCACCTGTGTCTATTGTAGACTGTGCTTTAGATTGTGATTTTTTTTCCTCTTCAATCAGATACCATTTTTTAACTTTTTATTTTGAGATTATTATAGATTCATAGAAAGTTGCAAAAGGAGGAAAGAGAAGTTCCTCGTACCCTTCACCCAGTTTCTCCCAACGGTCACATCACACTTCCATTGCAATGTCAAAACCCAGTTGGCATTGGTACAATGTGTGTGTCCAGTTCTATGTTGTTGCATCACAAGTGTAGATTCAGGTAACCACCAGCGCAATCAACCTACTGATCTGGTCCATCCTCGCAAAGATCTCCCTCATTCTAAACTTCCGGTCACACACACCTTCTCATTCCTCAACCCTGGCACACACTAATTTGTTCTTCGTCTCTAAAATCTTGTCATTTTGAGGCTGTTATATTAATGGGATTGGACAGCATGTGAGTTTTTGAAAGTGGATTTTTTTCACTAAGTAAAATGCCCTTGAGATCCACCCAAGTTGTTGTGTGCCTGAATGGTGTCTTACTTTTTTTTTCTTTTACTAAGTAGTATTGCACAGTATGGATGTATCGTACTTCAATTATTCACTTGTATAAGGACATTTTGGGATGCGAGGGCAACATCTGTCACACAGCCCCGCCCCCCCACCAATCGCCAGGGTTGGTTCGGCTGATCTGGCTGGTGAGGAGGGTGTCCCCTCCTCCCTCACTGCTCTATGTGTGTCCCTCCCGAGGCTGCGCGCTTGGTCAAAGAAGACAACAAAAGTGAACTTGAAAGAGATAATAGACCTAAATATAAGGGGAAAAGCCAGAAAACTTACATAAGAAAACAAGGACACAAATCCTCATCACCTTAGGTTAGATGAAGATTTCTTAGGTAGAATACAAAACTTTTAACAATAAAAGAAAAAACATTCATGATTTGTAGGTTTCACCCAAATTCGAAACTTTTGCTTTTAAAAATGTTAAAAATGAAAAGACTTGCAAAGCATATGTCCGCTAATGGACTTGTATCCTGCTTGCATATTTTTGCAACTCCATACTAAGAAAATAAATAACCTAATTAAAAATGGGCAAAGTATTTAATCGGTAATTTATCAGAAATAGAAACGATAATATGTGAAAGGATGCTCAGCAACATGTGGTCTCCAGGACAAGAAACAACAACAGAGCTTAAAAATGAAAATATATTTGA